TGCTCCACCTTCCCTTCCCTCCCCTCACCCATCCCCAACATCCCAATAATCAACAAAGAATCCCCCCACCCCCCTTTAGTATGGGTTCTTTCCCTTAGTCTTTTACAGTAGTGGTCCTATGCAGTATTTCTCTTTTTGTGATTGACTAATTTCACTCAACATAATGCTCTCAAGGTTCATCCATGTTATGCGGTGGCTTGCAGCTTCCTTATTGTTCTTCAAAGTAGTATAGTATTCCATTGTGTGTATGCACCACAGTTTGTTTATCCATTCTTCAGTTGATGGGCACTTTTGCTGTCTCCATCTTTTTCTATTGTAAATAGTGCTGCTATGAACATTGGTGTGCATATATCTTCTCGTGTCGTGGCTTTTTTTTCTTGTGGGTAAATACCAAGTAGAGGAATTGCTGGATCATAAGGTACATAATGGAGTACTACTGTTGTAGAAACAGAATACTCCAACTGACAGTTAATTGTTAGAAAATGAACATAGGGTTTCAACTCTAAATGTAATCATCCTAGTCCTTAAAATAACAACCACAAAAAGCTGATGGCCTTTCTTAGTCCCATCAGAGAAATGAGGTTAGAAGGCAAATGAACTTTCATCTCAAATTCTAGAGAGATTGGTGAATCCAGAGAATCAGCCAAATATGCTGACCTGGAGCAGCAGGTAAGGGACAGTTAAATGGCAGTTCTGACAATTACTAGAAGCTGTGTGTAGATTAGCATGAGAGTGAGAAACTCTTGGGAGCCAGACTCTTAGAAAGACCTCACATTTTGTGGGGTTTACCTCCAGGAAATCCACCAAGTTCTCATTGTGAAGAGCCAACATAGACCCCCTGGTGGATGTGGCAAAGGACGGGGAAAATTAATCATTGTAAAATATTACTAGAGTGTATTTTTTCTCTATAGCAATGACCCACTCTCCATACCTTTTCTAAATATTATCAGTGTTACCCCACCTAAAAGGAACTCTGGTAGCGTAGTGGTTATGAATTGGGCTGCGAACCTCAAGGTCAGCAGTTCGAAATTACCAGTTGTTCCGTAAGAGAAAGATGAGGCTTTCTGCTCCCATAAAGATTTACAGCCTCAGAAACCCTGTACAGGGTCGCTATGAGTCGGAACTGACTCCATGGCACATAACAACCACCACCACCCTACCTAAGGGAAGGGCATTATTCCCACTTCAGCCCCCTACAACCTTCTTGTTTTATCTAAGGAACATGGGGAGCTCCAAAACACAAGTGCAGGTTACATCACAGGAACACAATTCCTCTAAAAGACTTAGATTTAATGATAAGACTATCGAGTGCTTCTCCTTCCCAGTATCTTACCAACAGTGGTTCTGTTAATAGCAGTGCCTTAGAACTAAAACAGGTTTCTAAGAAGGATTACTTGTTGTTGTAAGATGCCTTCTAGTCCTTACTGACTCAAAGTGACCTTAGGCACAACAGAATGAAACGCGGTCTGGTCTTGCCCCAACCTCACAATCATTGCTATGCTTGAGTCCATTGCTACCCCACTGTGCCGATCCATCTAAT